CATCTCGTCGGGTAGTTTAGCGGGTGGTTGGAATGCCGTCCTTGATCCCGATATAGATCGCATAGGGAACTGATCAGATACTAACAACCCGGATGTGAAAGCATTTCGTAACTTTGTCGACAAATTTGATTTTGTCGATAAGTATCAGAATGAGCAACTCTGGGGGTAGTGTGAACTTGAACTAATAGGAGTAGCTCGACTTCGGTGGTGCGTTCTACATACATCGACCGAGTCCTAGTTAAGAGTGTCGACGTAGGGCTCTTAGGTTGTCCAAGTTTCCATTCGATAGTTTATACGGATCATATTCCGGGTTGGTGTAAACTTAGATAAGCCTAAGGTTAGATGGTCTGGATACTGGAAGTTGAACGCATCATTATTTGGTGAGTGAGATTTGTGACCAGCTGTTACTAATGCTACAGCAGAAATTGATGGGGGGGCTGTGGTTGGGAATAGTTGGTGGGATAGTTTAAAATCCAAAATTAGTTCGTTTGCAGTTGATTTTAGTCGTGGACTCAACTTATCTATGTTAGCATTAGAAGTCAAGGTTGATCGGGCAATCAAACCTATGATAGTGGGGACGTAGCTTTAGCTAGGTTGGAGCTGGCCTCCTTGCTTATCAAGAAGGATCAAGCTCTGGTAGTTAGGGGTAGGTTAAAAAGAATATCTTCCGAGACGACAAACATGGCCGCTGAATTGCGTGCAGAGGAAGACCGAAGTGCAACCAATCAACATATTGCGAGCATTACATTGCCGGACAAGTGAACCGTGACTACAAACGCGGACACATGTGAGGCTTTTCGAGATTACTTTCAAATCTTTTTACCAGAGAGCCCGGTTTGAGCCCTGCTCAGTTCGACGCCTATTTCCCTTACGAACAGTACTTGAGGCAGTCGCCCATTTTTGTCCCGTTGCTGGCATTGTTTTACAACAAGTGGATAAAGCAGGGGCCTATACCTAAACGAGACGGTGACGAGGGCCAAGATCAACCGCGATGTCTGTTGACTTACGGTTGGGTGCGTGGAAGGGAGTTTCTCTTCCCAGACGAGTCGGTCAAGATACTCGGCGTCTGCTTCGGTCCCGATCTCTTGTTGGAAATGAATAGGTCGGCGGTGCGGGATAAGCCCGAGGCTGCAGTTCACCCGTGATCCCGGAAGGAAAATTCCTTAAAGGAGAAGGCGGAAGTATGTGTCTAGCGCATCTACCCGATTCTTCTATATCGAATCTTCGTACTTCCACTTCCGTGTACCAAACTGATTACATTAGTAAGCGTCTTGTTCTTGTGGGGACGCAAGTCCCCCCAAGGTATGTCGAGAGATCTGTCACTTCCACCTGTCTGAAGGCAGTCTGAGTGTGCCTTGCGTTGAGATTCGTCAAAATGCGCTTCGCATTTCTTTCCTAGATCGGATGCGTTTGTAATTGGGTGAGAACGGCGAATTCTGGAAAGAAGATGTCCGTAAGAACTTTCCATCCTTCAGAAGTGTGCATTCGTCCAAGGTGGAGGCCTCCCGTTCACCCCGAGGTGAGGGCTCCTTCTATCGTGAATGTCGAATTGCTCTCAAGTATCTCTTACGAACGACGGATGGCCTCTCCGACGTCCAGACGTTGTCCTGTCAGGCATTATATAAAGTGTTAGGAGGTCTATTCGGGATGATCCGATAGGCGATCTCGGTCCGACAAAGCAGGAGGCTCCCTCTACATGGCCTTGGGCGCTCGGGTTGAAATGCCTCACTAATGATAAGGAATCACTCATCTGGTTGGTGATTCGAAGGGCCCTCTGGGTCAGCAAAAGACTTTGTTCGGCGGGCTTGGAAAAATCTCCAAACTGCGTTCGAGTCGGTAGTGACCCTGGAATCACGCTTTCTTCCACTGCAGGCTCTTTGTGCAAGTTTGTTGAGGACATCATGGTTCGCGTGCTGCGCGGAAAGTTCTTTGTTCTCGACGCCAGTTCTGTTTGTAGTAATGTTCTAACGCCGTTGTCTAAGGCTGAGGACTGTGTTCTTTTGCTTACTAGGGGTTATGCGAGTCGTAATATGGACGATACAACAGAAGTAATACTATGGGGACGAGAAGTTTACTTCTTACCAACTAATCTTGTTCTTTAGGCATCAGCTTAAAGTCAAGATTAGGACAGAGAGGAAACTACTCCATCCACTAGAATTTGGCAAAATGAGGGTGAGTCTTGCGCATCTGTTCCGAGTAAAAGGTGCTGACTTGGAGTGGCATTTTTATGCCGGTTAGGAATTTAAGAATATTGGAAATTCTGGTTTGAACATTGCCAACCCTGCCCAAAATAGGCTAGTTGAGGCTTGTTTTTGTTTTTTTTCTTCTGCCAAGTTAACTTAGCTATGGGATGTGTGTTCCTTGGCCACTCTTTACTTCCACTCCTCTTTCTTTTGTTCAAATTCCGCTGCCCTCCCCCGTCAGGTGATCAGAGATGTCAGTTTTCTAGTAGACTTTATTTGTCACGAGACTTACTTTTCATTTAATTTCTGTTTCATTGAGAGAATAAGCCATTAGTATATAAGGCGACCTTTTATTTGTTTGGCCGTGGTGGTTCTGGGATGAAAACACCCCCCCCAAAAGATGCAATGTATTACAATAGTCTAAGGGAGAAGTATGACTCTTTCATTAAAGGTAATGGGATCCCTACTATCCCGGAAGCAATAGATGTCGTCAGAACAAGAGCCATCTCCATGCTGACCACCAACGTAGTAACTCGGAGACTTATTGGAGTCAGCAGGGAAACAGTGGAAGCCCAACATTCTGGCTAGGAGGTCTGATGCTCTATGGGACATTTTACTGGCAACTGAAGAAGAGACTAAAATGTTGGCGGGAAGTACTCTGAATACTAAGTCAGTCCGCCTTCAAAACGAGTATATGGGTACGAGAAGAGCAAGAATTACCTCCCATGAAGTTCCGCTGGATAGGCTGGGGCTTTTTTTGCTCGATACGGCCTAGTGGATGAGGTGACTGCAACAATCAGCAGGGATTTAAATTGCCACAGGACATTTCGTCCTGCAGTTTACATTGACGAGGAAGAGTTTTGCAGAGATAACCAATATTTTGATGTGTAGGGATAAAATGATGCCTGTCGTAGTGGAAGGCCATCGTCCCTACTGCTGGGCATGTGGTGCTTCAGGACATAGCTAAAGCGTGTCCCGGCAAAAACACAGTACCTCAGCCTAGTCAAGCAACAGCAGCGGAAACAACAGAAGTGACTGACAATGCTCCCGATAGTGTTTGGTGGGAGGTGGCAAAGAAGGGACGGAAGTTGTCAAGAACAACCCCCCGCCCCTAGCAGGTGGCCTCTCAGCAGCAACAACAACCCCAAGAGATCTTCAACAAGAGAAAGATCAGCAGGCCAAGCAGATTAAGCAGAACAGCGACAAGACCATCAATAACAGTTGAAACTACAGAAAAAAGATCAACAACAACAGAAGAAATATCAGCAAAAACATGACCGACAACAACAAAAAGACAAACAACAACAGAAGAAATAGCAACAACAGTAACAGCAAAGGGGAGCAGAGTTGAAGCCGGAAATGCTCTCAACTCGGTTCTCTTCTTTAAAGAGAAGGAAGGAGAAGGGAAGAGGAAGAGATGACCATCAAAAAAGAGAAGCGGGCTGGATGAAGCAGGATGGAGAAGGAAATGCTCAAACCCAGATTCCAATCTGACCCTGCGTCAACAGTGGAAATTCAGGACACCACACTCAAGTCAAGGAGCCTCCCCTCTTCACCATCTAGTCCACTTCTAGCCCGCTGTCAACTTCTACTCCACCCCACCTGTCCAGAAAAAAAAAGAAAAATACTTTTTTCGATGTTGACGACATTCGTAAAGTCGACAGAAGGTAAGCAGAACACAAAAGAAGGCTCTCTTGGGTCCCCTTTGTCGACGGGAATTCGGTGGAGGATCCCGCAACTTTCGTAAGGCCCCATGAGTCATTGCTTGTATTAGGGACACGGGGAAATATTTAAAAGTTTGGTCTCACTTATATGAGGCAAAAGATGCCTTTCCCGAACTGCGCATGTCCCAGACGGGTACATCAGATTTAAAGAAACTTTTAAGAATTTGTGCAGGGAGGGTTTCGGTGCTTCTCCACCCCTCTCTATACAGGAACTTAAAGCTAACATATCCCATGGACGTTGGCGGTATTGTCCTAGATGGACGGATGACATCAGAGTTGGGCGCAGGGAGTCTAGGACAATCCGTCGGGGTTCTTACTCCCGCAGATCTCCGCCCTGTATGTGAATAGATTGATTGCTTTTTCTCTTTTCAAACTTAAAAATGTCTATCAAAATGTACAGTTAATTATATGAAAAACATATTTCTCTCCACTGTATATGTGAATTTCTTATGCATATATATCAATAAATCCAATTATGGCGGAAGGACCAACCCGTAAAGCAGCTTTCCTATGATTACACGCCTAATCAGGCTAAATGGTTATTTACTATGCCCAGCCTAAAGTATCACACAACCACAACATTGGACGTAAAGTGTTGATCGATCTAATTAGAGATGCGAATTGATCTGTAAGACGGTATTGTTAATCAATGCGTTAAAAGAGAGCCAATCAAGTTTAGTGTCACAAAGCCACTAGTACATGAGACCCAGTGAGAATCGAACTATCTTCGATACTAATGACTTACCAGACAGTCTAATCACTAATCTGCAGTGGATGACGCCAGTCTAACATCATTTCTAATGAAACATTTCTTTCCATCTCCACACCAAACATTCAGTTAAAAAAAAGAGAAAAACTGTAGAGAAAACATTTCGTCACATAGACTTGTACAAAAGCCTTTAACAAATACTCCTGTCACTAAATATATCGATAAATACATACGCCCTAATAGTACAGACATATGTTAACAAAAGATATGCACGTCTTAAAATCCGTTAACAAAAGATATGCACATGTATTCGTTTAACATACAGGACAATAATGTATACACACATACAAAAACACACACACATACCCACACACACACAGAGACTCGAGTATATTTATAACGAACACAACGACAGATAGATAGATAGATAGATAGATAGATAGATAGATAGATGACAATTTGATTTTATGAACCCACTTGAAACTAATGGTAATGCTCCTTCCAAACTGAAGAAGCCTCAACACCAACTGTTTCTAATGTGAGGCTAATAATATTAAATATCATGTTCTATGGCTTATCTCCGCTTCGTTTGGCTACTGCCATAATTAAATCTATTGGCCTGAAGCCCAACTGATATAATGCTAAATGCTTTAAAGGATCATCTCTAAACCTTTCTTGTGATCTGTTCTTTTTCGCTGATTTGATAATGGTATTTGTGTCTCTCGAATGAACTGAAGAGGAGTTTACTTATGTCTATGGTTATTTAATCATAACTGTTCTACAACATTGATCTATGGAAGACAACTAGAAGGAAAGAAATTTCGTGCAGACGCTAAAGGGCATACTATTTCTCTTACCTGCTTTGTTGTATTATCATCTTCGGTCGGTCCTTTTTTTTGTTCTTTGTACATTGTGTTCGGTTTGCGAACAATTGGTGCAACGCTTTTTTGTGAGGAAACTTCTGTAAGTTGTTGACTGTCACTGGAAAAACAACAAAAACAAGAAAAGATTTTAATTTGATAAATCCTTTCCACTTTTACTAGAAAAAATGTTATATTGTTGCCGTTCGTTAATCTGTTCTGATAATTTCTTCCTGCGGTGCCTCGCCGGGAAAAAACTAATGCGAACTAGCAGACCCTATATAATGTAGCTAATTAATCTTCAATAAATCTCATAATTGTGAAATTTTACTGGATTAAACCAGTCTTAGTAAATCAAGAATTAATTTTTGCTTTGTGTGTCTGGGACATTTTTGCATAAGAACTTTGAACAATTATGATGTCATTACACTCGGCAGAATGGTAAAAGATGACAGTTATATCTCAAAAGAACCATTCATTTGACAGAAACCATCAACCACGGTGTTTCCGTTGTAAAGCAAGAACTGAAGCCTTGACAAACAAATTCCACGTAACCTCTACATTTGGATTATGTTAGAATTTAAGTATCTTTGACTATTTTTCGAGAAATGAGTTTCTTGCGTCTTTGTTTACACCCACTTTGAACTTAGTTGTAATTCGTGGGGATTATTCTCCGTAAACCACTCGATACTAATCCAATAAAGTCAATAACTACAGATCAAAAGCCATATGTTATTAGTCAAAATCATAGAAAGTAATGAAGTTATAGAAAAAGAAATCAAGTCTCTACATGTATAATTCGATCGTAAAACTTGAATGTTCCCATAGTTTTTACTTACCTTCCAGCTCTCATTGAAGCACGGATGTTCGCAACTTTCCATAGTTCATAGCCAATACTTGCATAGGCTACAATCATTACTCCAATAGGAAAAATGAAGAGTATAACTAACATGTACAGCTCATAAATTATTGAATACAGTGTGTTGTCCCATTCTTTGATGCACCAATATGCTTTCCTGGTTAGTCCTACTTCCAAATGTTTCTAAAATGAAAAAGAACATACGGTTTAATTTTGAAATATTTCATTAAAAAGCCAAAAGAAATAACAGAAACGAAAAACATTTTATTATTGGTTAACCAAAAACCATTAATGAAATCTACATCTACCTTCACGATTATTTGTGTTTTTTCGAAACGAGTTCTACTGTCGCAAAAGACATGGTTTCATCACCGTCATCATCTTTCTGTATATACCCTTTTACAATTACCAAAATTCTTTGTCATTTTTCTTGCAAATAATCTATTTATCCTGTAGCCGTCTTTTTGCATCTACTTTATTTTATTAATAAAAATAGTATCATCGTTTAGAGTCAATCTGTATGTATTTCTATTTTATTTAAATTAATATAAGCCATTATCAATAAATTCATGGCTTTCAAATGGTTGCAATTTTTCGATTACTCGGATTGATTGATATATTTTTATATTAAAAAAAAATCTTTCCCTCTCAATACTTTTAGCCTCATCGCTTGAATGCAACCTGCAGCTATCCTTTAAATTACTTTCAAACGCTTCACGAAATTTTACTACAAGAACAAAATCTTTATTTTGCATTTGTTAATAAAATTTTGTGGGCAAGTAACATAAGAAACGTGTTTTATAATTTAATATGTTTTTCTTTATATTTCGAAAAATGAATGGATTTGCTTTAAAGCTAAATTGTTTTTTTCATTTTTCACCAGCTGTGAATTGTGAGTAAAACTTTTTCTCGATTTCGGTGATTTAGTGCAAACTTATGTTTTGATGTTGTTAACCAGAAGTTTCTACATACATTATACACTTCTTATCCATGATGTACAAGATGAAATGATAATAACGTGTCGTTTCCTAATATCTTTAAAAAATAGGGAAATGTCAGTTCTGAAGATTATTATTCTATCGTGGATAACAATAACCAAATAACCCTATATACAATTGCATTTTAGAAGTAGGTAGAGTTATCCGGCACTTTTTTGATTGACAACAATACTTAGTTTGTCCGCAGATAACGCAAAGTGATTAGAAATTGATCTAAGTTTTAAAATTATATTTATGCATTATAAAATTTCTTAATGTGTTAATATTTGGACTAAGGAAACATAATCTAAACGTTATTGCTTTTTAGACTTATATCAATGTATAATCCCCAACAAACGCTACCAATGTACAATCCCCAACATTCTGTAATGCTGAGATGTCCTTATTAATTAAGGACAGCTAGAATTAACTGATTACTATTGTGATCTTTTGAAACCTACAGTTTTATTCTTAATTAATAGAAACTCCAACCCAATTAAAATTGCTCCACTGTATTTTGGCCCATTTAGTTTTCTGTTCAATGTTTATCTAATGAATTGCTGTTAACAACTTTCCCAAAGGGTAACTTTAAACATTAAATATAAGTACATTAAATACAATGAGAAATTTCTTATACAGCGAATGAAAAAGATTCCTAAAAAGTAAATGAGTAACACAGAAATAAAAGCTAGCAAGAAACTTGAAAAATGGTGAATAAAGTGACATTTCATTAATGATCTAACGCAATGTCATGATCAGCACACCTGTAAGACAAATCATGGCCGGGTGATAGGTTTTCCAATGCTGTACAATATAAATTTTCTAGTAAGAAATGAATTTATATGGTTCTTACCCGACCCTTTAATATCGGTAGTGCCAAAATGAAGGACAATATCCAGACGATGATTATAACGATTCTGGCGTGGGAAATAGTACACAAATACTTTGACTGAAGCGGGTGTAGAATTGCCATGTACCTGTAAAGAGAAATATAAAACCTTCAATGTAATTCGATGAAAATGATTTTCCAATATGATTCCATTGCATGTGACTTCCTTTTAAAATGAATTTATTGTTGTTTTTTAATAAAAGAGGCTTATGAGATTACAAATGGTATTTGATAGGCAGCTGAAGAGATATGGGGCAGTCACAAGAACGAATAAAAATATATCTCGCTATGAAACATAATAGATTTTATCTAGGCATTAAAAATACTTATTTAACTGTCTTTGGCAGAAGAGCATTTCATAATCATTCTTTTTAAAGTGCAATTCCTATTAAGAAAAGCAACAGACATGTTTTCTTTTCGTGAAAGTTTCTCCTCTATTTTATTATTGAAATAAAGCTTCTTAGATCTTCTGGTCAACTGAAAATTCACATTGACAGCATAAAACAGTTATCAGTTTTTAATAATTTCACCGCAAGCAATGCAATAAAACACTAAGACACAAAGGGTTACTGAGTGTTATAGAATATGAGAAAAAAATGAAGAAGAGAGAACAATAAAAGAGCAAGAATTAAAAAGACAAAGATTTAACTTAACTGGGAAGCTGTGTATGCTCGATTTCTCAAAGTATATGCCAATTTTAATTTTTTTAATGGATATCTCGACTGTTACTAAGTTAAAACTTAGTAACTTTTTTCTTTTTTAATAGGATAGATAAACCTTCCTTTCATCCGGTCCATACTCTACTGGCTTGGGAATTCTCTTGAGTCTCCAGACCATTCTTACACGTGTCTACTAAACCCAGTCAGCTATCTCTTCTTTCTCCACCGTTCCCCTTCATCCCATACTGTTGTTTGCAAGACAGTATTTCTGGTAATATAGGTAAGGTCATCTCTCTACACCTATTTACAAATATCTTGACTGACATCGTTGGCATCCAAACCCTGAACTTCTCAATCACTCAATCTATCACGCAAGTGGTAGACTTCCCCACGCATTTTTCCAGTAATCCTGATGGACACGCTTCTCTTCGTGGTCTCTTCTTTACCTCTATCCCTGACTCATGTCGTGCTCTGCCCTTTTGGCAATTCTGATCATGCGGTAGTGTCTGTAAATATCTCTTTCTGCTCTCCAATCAGCCAAGAACCTCCTACCAACAGAATATATTTCTGTTATCAACGCGTTGATTGGGACTCATCCAGTAACTTCCTTCGCAACGTCCCTTGGAATAAAGTTTTTAATCATCCTGCAACTCTCTATAGTATGTTTGCGAATTCTTCTATATTAATTTTACACTGTGTATGCAAGCGGAATCAAGACGGGCCGCCCGTGGACATTAACGAAAACCGAATGAAGGCCTTTTCCGCCTGGTACGACCAAGTGGAGGACGTCTCGGTGACAGTGAGAAAGGTGGGCATCGCTAGCGGGGATTTTGTCATCTAGGTGCCACTGACTCGGAAGAGTTTTCGGAAATCCCCAACGTCCTAATGTGGTTGGAAAAGATGATGCCTGTGGTAGTGAAGTGATGTCGTCCCTCCTGCTGGTTGTGTGGTGCCTCGGGACACATGTCAAAGGCCTGTCTCGGCAAGAACATGGCGTCACAACATAGCCTAGCAATAGCAGCAGCAGTAGTGGTCGCAGCGGAAGAGCTCGGAAAGCCCCCGACGGTGATTGGAGGGTTGGTGGTTAGGAGGAGACGGAAGACGACAAGCCCCCTCTACCCCCAGCAGGAGGTGCCACCACCACAACCACAAAAACAATACCAGGAGTTGCCAGAGAAGGAGGAAAGACAACAAAAGTTGCAGCATCAATAATAGGAACTGCAACACCAGCAGCAACAAAAACACCAACAACAACAAAATCAGCAACAGAAGCAGCAACAAAAACAGCAACAGAAGCAGCAACAAAAGCAACAACAACTACATAAGCAGCCACAATAACTAGAAAAGCAGTAACAACAGAGACAACATCAACAGCAAAAAAGCATCAGCGTCCCGACTCAGAGATGAAGGCGAAGTAAATGCCTCCACTTCGGTCCTCCTCTTTGAAGAGGAGAGGGAGGAGAGAGCAGAAAGAAGAGGAAGAGGAGGAGAAACCAACCAAGAAAGAAAAGTAGACTGGGCGAAGTAAGGCGGAGAGGGACATGAAAAAAGCGAGGTCGAATAGTTGAGAATATCGACCCAAAATCAAGGAGCCTCCCCACTCCACCTGCTTGGGTCCCGTCCTCCTCCACTTACACACTTCCCCATCTGTCCACTGATATTCCGCCCCATTCGTCTAGGGAGAAAAAGAAAAATTTCCTCGGAGCAGAAAAAATCTGCAAGGTGGAGAGAGAAGAC